GACAAGGATGCAGACACGAAGGCTGGACCAGACAAGGATGCAGACACGGAGGCTGGACCAGGCGAGGATGCAGACACGGAGGCTGGACCAGGCGAGGATGCAGACACGGAGGCTGGACCAGACGATGGAGACACGGAGGCTGGACCAGACGATGCTGATGATGCTGATGATGGACCAGACGAAGATGAAGATGAAGCCGGACCAGACGAAGATAAAGCCGGACCAGGCGAGGATGAAGATGAAACCGGGCCAGGCGAGGATGAAACCGGGCCAGGCGTGGATGAAGCCGGGCCAGGCGAGGATGAAACCGGGCCAGGCGTGGATGAAGCCGGGCCAGGCAAGGATGAAACCGGGCCAGGCGTGGATGAAGCTGTAGCTGAAGCTGGGCTAGGCGAAGCAGACGCTGAAGCTGGGCCAGGTGAGGATGAAGCTGGACCAGAACCAGGCGAGGCTGAAGCTTCAGGCTGAGGCGTGGCAGTAGCAGGTGGTAGCGCTGCAGGTGATGATACTGCAGGAGGCGGCGCTGCAGCCACAGGTGGAGAAGCAGCCGCAGGTGGAGAAGCAGCCACAGGTGGCTGGACGGGATCCTCGGGCCCCCCAGCCGACGTGGCAGCAGGTGTGGCATGAGGCTGGACGAGCTCCTCGGGCCCCCCAGCCGAAGAAGCAGGAGGCCGGACGGGCTCCTCGGGCCCCCCAGCCGACGTGGCAGTCAGTGTGGCATGAGGCTGGACGAGCTCCTCGGGCCCCCCAGCAGGCGAAGCAGGAGGCTGGACGGGCTCCTCGGGCCCCCCAGCAGGCGAAGCAGGAGGCTGGACGGGCTCCTTGGGCCCCCCAGCTAGTGAAGCAGGAGGCTGGACGAGCTCCTCGGGCCCCCCAGCAGGCGAAGCAGGAGGCTGGACGGGCTCCTTGGGCCCCCCAGCTAGTGAAGCAGGAGGCTGGACAGGCTCCTCGGGCCCCCCAGCGAAAACAGCCGCAGAACCAGTGGGCACCGCAGCCCCCGGCACACACGAAACAAGACCAGTAGGTACGCGGGCCTCCGGCACACATGAAACAAAACCAGTAGGCACGCGGGCCTCTGGCACATGTGAAACAAAACCAGTAGGCACGTGGGCCTCTGGCACATGTGAAACAAAACCAGTAGGCACGTGGGCCTCTGGCACACATAAGGAGGGCTGCAGCTGCGCAGAGCACTGACCCTGCTCAGGCAGTGACACAGCTGGCATCTTGGCCACCAGGGGTCCAGAGTAAGCTGAGGGTAGTAACCCCGCCTCTGGGGAAGCCCCGGAGTGAGTAACAGTCACTAATGTTGCCAGCTGTTGAGGAACAGGTCCGTAATGTAACAGTTCATCTCCCTGCCTAGAAACAGCGGTGGAAAAACAGTGTGAAAACTGTGATTCAGCTATTACCGGAACCGTGGGTTGTAGCGATGCTAGCGGTGATGGTGGTGGCTGAGTGGCTAACTGGAGCGGCGGCAGAACAGGCAATTGCGCCCCCAGGGAGGCTAACGGCTGAGCTACTGACTGGGGAGCTTGTGGCCGAGCGCTGAACTGAGCCGGAGAATGGCGATAAAGTCCTGGCTCAGAAGGGGTGGCAGAGACACAGTCTGTTAGTCTTGCAGAGGGTCTGTACACGCCCACTTGGGAAGGATCAGTCACCACGAAGGTGGGTAAGCGATCCATACAGTCTCCCATCCCGCTCTGAATAGCCCCAGAAAACAAAGTCCCGGAAACTGGGGAAGCCAGAACATGTCGCTCGCTCACCGCCTCGGGCTGCTCGAAAGTAAAAGCAGACGGGGGGTGAAGTCCGAGGTCCAAAAGGAGGAACTCCCGCTCCCACGAACAAAGCGAGCCTAGAAGCCATGGGAGACCGGTCACCAGACGCTGTAGCTGCCTTTCTATAGCGCGCTGGGACGTGCCACCCGGGTTTTCCAGCCACAGGTCGATCAGCTCCTGTGTGGCATCGATTAGATTCTCCCGTAGCTCCTTGGACGGGTTAAGCGCTGCTGGGTCCATCTTGTGGTCGCGTCGTACTGTCACGGTCCGGGGCAGCGGCCGTGTGGAAAGTGGAAGGAGGACCCAAAACGCAGCACTTATTCAGATGTGAGGGTGATTTATTGTTAATAACAAACACAAAGTGGAGATGGCAAACAGAACTAAGGACGAAACTAAACTGGGATAAACTACACAGAGGAGTGGCAAACCTGAACATGAAGGGAGAACAGCAGGGAGAACACGCAGAGGATTACACCAGGTAGGAACACAGACGACGCGACGAGGAGCAGAGGAAATCACACGCTATAAATACACAAAGAGACACTGGGAAATCACACACAGATGGGGGAAACAGCTGGACCTGATTAACCTGACGAGACAGGGGAACACTAACACCAGGGACCAACAGAGGGAGCACAAACCCAGAACCCAGTGTCTAAAATCCCAAACACAAACCATCCCAAAACAGCCATGAATAATAATGAAAGTAATAACAATAAGTACATAAACATAAAGTCACTGAGTCATGGTCACAGGACCATGACAGTATTTAAAGGAACACACTCCACTTTTTTTGGAAATAGGCTCATTCTCCATCTCCCTCAGAGTTAACAATGCAGCGTCTTCTTTCTAAATTAATAGGACTTTGGAGCGGGATCTTAAGGGATGGGGCGTGGCCAGGATTTTTGCTCGAGGCGCCATATCAGCTGGCCAAACAAATGCTTGCTGTGTGTGGACACACAGACACGCATACACGTTTACACACACAAACCATCATATAGAAGAGAGATTTCTGAATAGGGATTTTGTTTCTGTTTTTTGTTAAAGAGACATGAAAGACCTCAACTTAAGGTTAAGTGTATAAACTTGAAACATCTTTATGATGCAACCGAAAGAATCATGAATCTGAAAAGCTACATGATTTTTCTGGATTTTATTTTTGTCGACTTATGAAGTTATATATATTGTTTTGTATATTTTTGAAATTTCTTGAGGAGAAGATTGCTGATTGGTCCTAACCAATTACTGTATAAAAGATGAACGACACGACAGCACTTCCTCCCATTGTGCAAAAATGAAGCCAAAATATCCTGCTTGTGGGAGCTGCCATGTTCCACTTTTGGAGCCAGAGTCTGCTCAGTAGTAACTCGTGGTGGAGCGTCTCTGCCCACACACCCGCTGGACGTGACCGTGAACACGCCCCCTTACACTTTTTACATAGCCCAGCTGCTCTGTCTCTCATTCTGCAGGGTATGGGTAAAATTTATCATACAAAACATGCACTCTGTGCAATATAGATTAACGTTACTGCTGAAGATGTGAGGACATCTGATCTCTGAAAAAACAACTGTTAATGAAGCTGGAAAAACACACCCACGTCTTGATCCTTAAAAAAGCATATTAATATATAGTAAAAGCCAATCAGAAGTAAGTAGAAGTAAAAGGCTTCAGCCTACTAATATTAGTCAATAAAATACATTCTCTGCGTCAAAAGTGATGAGATAATATTGAAAATAATACTTTGATCTCTTAAAATAAATTAAATCATAACTTATTACTAAAACTGATTATGTTGTTCTCCACCTTTTGCTTAACCAGACCAGAGTCTTGTACTGCAGGATTAATCTGAGTGTACCAGTCCTGGACCGTTTTTTTAACCAGGAGGATCCCAGGCTTGATTTTCGGCTAAGCAGGGAGTCTATGGCAGTGTTGCTAAATCTCCTGGATGCCACAATTGAGACCCTGATGTTTCTTTTCTGGTTGGCAAGAGGAGCATCCTACAGGTGGTCTCAAGAGTGTTCGGGATGCCTCATTCTACTGTTCACTACATTGTTGATAGACTCACAGAGGGGGTGGTGGCCATTCGCCACTAGATCATGTTGCTCCCAAAGACCCTCAAGGAGCTGGAGGTATTGTCCTGTGGGTTTGCATGGCTGGCACGCCATAGAGACTTTCTGAGAGCCGTTGGTGCAATCGACAGCTGCCACATCTGCATCAAGTCTCCAAGCAGCCCTGATGGTCAGTGCTACAGAAACAGGAAACTGATCCCATCAGTCATCTTCCAGGCAGTTTGTGACCATCGGGGCCGCTTCATCAACACGTATGTGGGCTGGCCTGGGTCGGCAATACAGTCTGTTCTTACCTGAACTCCTGCTTTGATTTTTCACTTAATATCTCCATAATCAGTAAATACCTGATTGTAGAGACATCTTTAATCAAACATGGTCTCGACAGGTTCCCTTTCATCACAGTCCATTTAATATCACTCTTGTTTACAGTAAGTTCCATAAAAACACATACAGTTAAATAACAGAAAAGCGCTTATTATGACATATTACAGATTATTTATACTGGCACAGTTGAATTTTGTATTTTTTTAAAAATTCAACATTGCTTTACAATTTACAATAACAATGAAAAATAAACCATACAGCACATTTTGTGTTTAAGTGTTTAAGTCACACAATGACTTAAAAATTACAAAAATACATTTTGTTTATAAAACAAAAAGAGATGTACTATTTCAATTATTTCAATTTAGAAATATTTCAGTTCAGTGTCATCAACCTTTTAGTAAAGTTTCTTTCTTCCTCTTCTTCTTCTTCTGGTTGTTCCCTTCCAGGGTCGGCACAGTGGATCATCCTATCATCCTTTTCTGTCTTGCTTTCTTCCTCCTGTCTAACAGCTCCATCTTCAACATCCTTTGGCCAGTTTATTCACCATCACTCTTCTGCATAAGTACAAACCATCTTAGCCTTGCTTTTTTAACTTTGTCTCCAAACCACTCAATCTGAGCTGTCCTCTAAATGTACTCATTTCTAGTCCTATCCCGTATGGTCACTAACGGAGACATTCTTAGCATCTTCAATACTGCCAACACTTGGCCTCCTGTCTGTTTGTCTGTGCCACCATCTCCACATCAGCAGACCTTCACTAGCATCTTGTAAACGTTCCTTTTCACTCTTGCTGCTATTCTTCTGTCACAATTCCAGGCTGTTGTCTCAGAGATCAGCTGACCTCTATAAACCACCGCTCCCCCACTGATGGAGCGCTGATCGTGTGTCGACACAGCGGACAGGTGCCAAACTGCTCACAGACTCTGAAGTTGCAGTCTTTACATAAACATCGGTGGCCACAAGGCAGTGTGATTCTGGCCTCTTTCGCCATGCACACCACACAGACGTTATCTGTTGTAAAAAGAGAGAGATCCCAATTACATATGTGACATCAGGAAATGAGACCACACTATCACAGCTGATTTCACTTTTATCTTCTCTGGTCAGAAATGTGCAACTGAAAACAGCCAAAAATGTTTGAAATGACTCTTTACCTTCTGGCATTTTTGTGTCAAGACAGGAGATGCAGTCCTCACGTCTGAAGTCTGAAACATCAGGAACTGAACGAAAGTGACTGTCAGGATCAGGTGAGGCGAGCGGTTCAGGTGCAGGACAGGATCTTCTACGGTAAAGCAGCTTTTTGTTTTTCTTGGAGTCTTCAGCAAAGAGAAAGGAGTATTTGAATAGTCATTCAGTCTATGAATCAGACAACATTTATAACTCTCAGAGCATGTGAATTGCTCTGCATTCACAGAACAGGAAAAACATTCTGTAGGTCAAATATAACCGTGGTTCTAGTGAACTTACCCAGCAGCAAAATGGAGCGCGTCTGCCCGTAGATGTCTATCATGGCCCACAGCGGCTGTTTAGTGTCCACTCCTGGTAGTTGCTCGTACTCCTCGTTGTTGACACCTATGTATATGCTGCCATGAGAAGAAACCCAAAACTCCAGCTCTGAACCTGCTTGGCAGACAGATTCATCCAATGGAACAGCCCAGTGTCCGGACTTGTCAGTGAGGTTGGGGATGGACATGCTGGGCAGAGGCAGAGATCTGGTTAAGGGTGGCACAGTGGTAAAGCCCACACGCAGAGCCCCGTCCCAGATGGATGAATCCTTCTCTATTCTCAGACAAATCTTCTCCTGGACTCTCACTGGACGGTTGCTGAACACCAGCCCATTCTTGAAGGTGTTATCAGTCTTCTCTGCGAGTCGACCTCCATGACTCAAGCGGACCTTTTCTCCCACAGCCTGACTGTCAAAGGACAGAGGACTGACACAGCGTGAGCTGCATCTGTGTGACACCTCTGACTTGCCAACTACACAGAATTAAATAAAACTTATTAGTGCTGATATAAAAATATTTCTTTGCATGTGATCAGATGCTTAAATATCATGCATACATTTAATGGTTTAATGGAAAATTAGTAGTCTGACTTACTATTAATAAAAGATAACTGAAAATAATGTGACAAGGTTTTCTGTCATGAGCTTATTTTACACCTTTAAGATGTTTCTGAAAAAGATTTTAGTGCAATAATAAAAGCTAATAAACTTGTAAACAAGTCGTAATAAAATTTGCAAACTCCTGTGCTTTCACTTTTGAGAATGATGTGACACTTTGGACTTCATCCTGATCATTAAATAAAGTGAACTAAGTTGCATTCAATGTCCACTAGGTGGCCTGTGATTATTCATTGTTTATGTCTCACACAGTTATTGTGTTTGCACTTTATCTTTGGCAATAAGCATTTCCTCTAAAATATAAACTTTATCTTTAAAGATTTTTGCATTTAATTCACAGCTTATAATTAAGAAATTTTTTTGCAGTCGTTTGCTAATCCTTACAGTACTTTGCCATTTTTCATATATTCTTTATTGTTTTCATTCAGTTTTCATGGATTTATTTCAATAGATAACAGCAGATTTTACATTCTTCAAAATTGCAAGTGAAAAACATCTGTTTCTCATATTTATGCACTATAATTTCCAAAGTCAATTATGTTGCTTGTTTTCATATAATATAAATAACTGTTTAGTCTAGTAACAATATAGAAACAGCTGACATTTGTTGATTTGGGTATAATAGTTATTGATTTACCAAACTGATATATAAAGCAGCTCTGTAACTTACATTTAAAAATCCTTATAGAGCGTGACCATGGCATTTTGAAGTTGTAAATAATACTTGTCAGCTGAGTCCTGATGGATGATAGTGTGTGTGCTCCTTTATAGTTTCCACATCTGGGTTGAAAACACAAACACTCCCAGCATAACCAGGAAAGGAAAAGAGGAGGGGCTGGGGAAGTGACTGTACATTCTGATGATGTCATTAACCTCCATTCACAGTTCAATGTCTGAGCTGAGTGAGGACATCAGGACACTCACAGTAACAGTCTTATTGAGCTTTAATCTTCTGTGCACAGATTCTATACTATAGTATAGAATCTGTGCACAGAAGCCTAACAATAGTACATATATGTACTATTGTTAGGCTTTGTTTATACATGTGAAATATCAGCCCAAAATGCTTTTTTTTTTTTTTTTTTTACACTTGTCAGGAATTAAATCCAAACCAACCTGCATGCTTCAAAATAGCCAGACAGTCTTCCAGGGACATAATAAAGACTTTCTGTTTGAATAACAAAACAAAGAAAAAACAAAAGAACTGGATGATGATGGTGCTAATTAAAAATATTGCTGTTTTTTGGTTTGCTTTGGAGTATCTTTGTCAGTCTTCTACTTTGGTTTTAGTTTTTATTTTGATGGATATTTTACGGCTATAAAACCGAAACACATTGAACTGTAGAAGAGTGATGCACTTTTCATGCACAATCTAGATAGATATTAGAACATTAACAGTAGTGTAATAGTTAATGACGCTGAAGGTTTAGGAGATGGCTTCTTTGTTGTTTTGCTGTCAGTTTAATCTTTGTTAACCTGACCTTTTCTGGGAGTGACTTTTATCGGTTGTAAATCTCTGCATCTATCTGCATTTTTGAGAACTTTGTTACACTCGTTCATGCATTAGGAAATCCTTTACACATTAACAAAGGAAAAACAGCGCAGCTTTTTTTTATACTATAAAGTGACTCAGATAAAGCTTTTAAGTTAACCTGTACACAAGTCATAATGTAAGTACCAAACTCTTTTGCTTTTACTTTTGCAGACCAGGTTAAAGTTTGGCCTTAGTCAGATGAGTTACCGACAGAAACAGTTCACTAGATGAGCTTTGATTTAAAATTCAGGGTTAGTTTTCTTTCTTTTGTCATTGCTGCAGTGGGTGGGATGAAAAAAATTTTTATGTTTAGATTTCTGTTGATGTAAGTTCAATGTGCTGCAGTAAACATCAGCTGAGTGAAAACAGGACAACCATGGCAAAAAGCATAAACATAATCATAAACTTAAGGAGAAGAAGTGAATTTGGAAAGAGTTTATGACCGTAAGGCAGGATTGTCCAACTCCAGGCCTCGAGGGCCGGTGTCCTGCAGGTCTTAGACGTGTCCTTGATCCACAACACAGCTGATTTAAATGGCTAAATGACCTCCTCAACAGTTAATGAACTCATCATTTGATTTAGGTGTGTGGACATAAGGTGATATCTAAAACCTGCAGGACAACGGCCCCCGAGGCCTGGAAGGTTGGACACTCTGGCTGTAAGGCTTTTGTCATATATAATCCAAAATGAGAAGAACAACACAAGAAACAAAAAACCTTTAGGATCTGAAAAATGTCCAATAAATGAATCACACCTCTTTATAAATACAAATAGTTACTCACAGAACAAGACTAAGTTTAAAACCTGCTGATTTGTTGTTGCATGTTGTTTGTTCACTGAACTCTAAGTTAAAGAATACGTTTTTTTATACAAATATGGGGTAACATTGCATACTAAAGAAAAGGTGCTACACCTATCAGGAAGATCAAACCACGAGAGCCGAATACAAAAGTTAGCCTTGATCTTCATTAATTTTCATGTCACAGCCAATCAGTCTTCCAGCTCTTTAATAAACTATTTGAAATAACGAACAAACAAACAATAGGAAAGCTCCGTGGGGCTGAGGATGGAAATTTGGGCCTTCAAAATCAAACTACAAACTATTTTTGTTTTATTTTGACCACCAGTGTTATTAATTTGTCACAGTCTGACAATAGAGAATAAGGTTTTTAATTTCACTGAGATTTTACTGTCATGGTTCTGGGTCCTTTTAGGCCAGCATTTTGTGTTTTCTTGTATTCCTGTGGTAGTTTGTATTATTAGATTATGTTCTGGTTCATTAGTGGTCTTTAGTTTTCCATTGTGAGTTATATTCCCTGTTTAGTATTTTCCCCTTGTGTCTGTGATGTCTCTCTCTGTGTCTGCGTTGTCTTGTGTCTTGTTTCCTCCTCGTGTTTCATTCTGTTTTCACCTGCCTGCCATGTTTATCCATGTTTCCCCAGTCAGTCACGTCTCTGTGTCTGTCTGCACCTCTGTGCGTGTGTTCCCATTGCTTCCTGTTTTATTTTGGTAGTTTCCTATCTGTGTGCGCCATGTTTTGCTTTGCTTCTGCTATTGTGAAGGTACCTTGTCTGATCTGTTATATTTAGCTTTATTTTCTTCTGTCCACCGTCACGGTCTCCCTCAGTCCACACTGTGTGTTCTGTCTGCTAAAACTGCTAGTTTATTTTGTATCTTCAGTTAAGTTAGTTTTTCCTTGTTCAGCAATAAAGCTGTTTTTTGAGTTTATGTTTCACATCCTGGAGTCTGCATTAATGCACCCAAATGCATTTGGGTCCTCCCTTCCTGCCTGCTGCATGCAGTTTATGACATTTACAACTGCAAACAATACAACAATGTAAATAAATAATAATAAAACTAAATGGACTGAATTGGACGTTTGAAGAAGCATCAAACATCTTTTTTTTGGCAACTGTTAGGTTTTGTATTGTTGTCATTTATGCTTAGAAATATTCAACCATATATGCTTAGAGGTGTATAATCAATTGTGTAGTGATAGGATGTGTGATCTTTAGCAGGCTGCAAAGGCTTGGTGTGCATTCCTGGAATTTTTTGGTAGGATAAACGTGGCTATATCTGTTTTAGTCTAAGTGCTTTTTTACATATAGATGAACTGTTGGATTTTCCAGACCAGCAGGTTTAGGGAAGTTGTTTATGGGGCCACACTCTGCCCCCCCCCCCCCCCCCACCCCCCCCCCCACCCCCCCCACACACACACACACACACACACACACACACACACACACACACACAGACACACACGCAGGCAAGGTACTCTCTGTTTGTATGAAGACGTCATATGTTAATGAACCTATGCATATTCATTTAACCTCAATAAAAGACCAGTGTTACGGGGGAGCGGACGAGAGCAACTGGGGTCAAGCGAAGGAACGGCGTTTGTCCGGTTCTCTCCCATGCACGAGAAACATGAAGAACTTTGCCTACTTCGTGTCTTGCTTGCTGTGTAATTATATTGTCTTCAACGTTCCAGCGAATAGGTTCAAGCTACAAACCTATCAGTAACCCAAACCTGAATTGATGATTTGTACCAGTACAGTTTACTTTAGTTACACATTAACAATAGAAACTGCTTAGGGTTGTTTTTTTTTTAATATAAATGATAAAGTCTTTCAGATAAAGCTTTCAATATAACTATAGATGTAGATAAAGTTTTAAACAAATCATATTGAAACTCTTCTTTTAGTTTTGAGGACTATGTGAAGGTTCAACCACATTCTACCATTAATATTTAACTGCTGCACACTTGCATCTGCTGCAGGTTTTCTATCAGAGGAGTTTCAGTCTTCTGCAAGCATCTGTTTTCTTTTCTTTAGCATGATCCATTTAATAATAGTGTTATTTGCAGTAAGTTTCATAATATTAAGAGCAACAAATTACACTTTACTAATGTTGCCATAGTTTAACCATCAAAGAATTTGACAATTGTTCAACATAGTAATTTCACAGAAAGTTGCTTTAAACGGAGCACATTTTGCACTCAATGTTTTAAGTCATACACTTTTAATGTTAATCAGACAAAAAAAAAGGTTGAGTATATTTTAATCATATAGAAACACAGTTCAGTAAATTTACATCAACTTCTGATCTCAAAGACTGCAGATTTACATGTTTAACAAACAGAAAACAACTCATATACAAAGTTTTACATCAGGTTCTGTTCACTGTGTTTGTGTGTTAGTCACTCAGCAGTTTTTATTTGGTGATAATTCCTGGCTGATGTCTTGGAGGTTAGATGGTCCCTGAAATAGTTATATGTTAGTGACCAATAAAAATTGAACCAATGTGAAGCAACGCAAACCCCGGGGTGTAGAGCTTCTGAGTACACACAGCAGTCCTGAACCCCTCCTCCTGCTGTTGGGTACCCTTTCATCCTTTGTTCTTTCTTGGTGAGTCTTAAGTTTTTATTTTATTCTTTCAACTGTACAAATGTCATATTACCCCAATCATTATATGTTTATCAATATTTTCCCCCAATCAGTTTTTAATCATACATGTTTCTTTTGTTTAATCTTAAACTTGGTTACACAACTTTCTGGCACCATAACTTTTCGAGTGCCAGTCCTGGCATCCATCATTTATAATTGGGTCACTTTGTCAGTTTAATGGCCAAAGTGAGTTCGAAGGTTTGCAAAAAGGCAGATAACAGTTAATCATTTTGGCAATTTTGTCGGGTTCGCTTGTCAGAAGTACACGACTATCCATGATAAGAAAGGGTACTTTTCACCTATGGTGGCTGAGGCAAGAAAACAGAATCCTAGGTGCATCCTAGGCAGGGCCAGGTTTGTTTACCATATAGGCTGTGGAAGGGCTGGATACAGAATGAAGACGAGCAGAGAGTCCCAGGTGCACATTTAGCAGTGCCAAGTTGAAATAACTCTATGTTTGGACTTGTCACCATTGGCCATAACACAATCAATCCTAATTATTACATTTTCAAACAGCACTGATCAACATGTGTTCATACAAGAAGTGGCACAAACTTCATTAATATAACTATAGATAATATTTGACCTAAATATGTGGGTCTTGTGATTTGAACATGTATGTTAGAGGATTATCATAATGATTACATTATATAAAACACTCCAGTGTAGGTATATATAGTATATTTGCGAGTATATGTCCAGTGTATACAGGTATATATGTCAAATATCATAAAAAATCCACAACAAAACTCTCTAGATCAATGTCCACTAGGT